CGTACTGCATTGTGCAAAACAGCTGTGGTGTTGGCATAACTCAGTGGGAGCACTGGGATTTTATTCCCCTCGCTGTAAAGGGGAGAAAGGTGCTAATGCTTTCAGCAAAGAAAACCATGCATGTGCTATTTTAAAGCCTAATGTTGATGGCCTTTAGTCTCTAGGGCCGTAGGCACAGCCTTTTTTGATATTGTAGCTGTAGTGCAGAGGGACCCATCCAGCTCAGCTCTACTTTCTCACCCTCCTGACATCCCAGTAGTGTCTCTACCAACTCTCTTGGGGAAAGGGGAGTTTTCCCCCAAGCTGTGAATGCAGGCAGCTGCCCTAACTGGAGCCCAGCAGAGTCTGGCTTCTTTTGGGCCTGTCGCCCAAGTGCTGCTCTCCTGATCTGTCAGCCTGCTTGCCCACACGGGCCCTGATAATGCATCTACCATTGTTCCTGCTGGCCAGCCAAGCTTCCCAAAGGAAACCCAACCTTTGGCTGAATTATTGATGCCCTGGAATGCAGCACGACTCTCCTCTTCCTGGAGAGTTGAGAGTGGCACTCAACAAAAGGCTGCCCTGCATTATTAATCACCTCATTGTGCAGGGAAGCCAAAGACGGGACTGGTGCTCAGCTGGGTCAGCTGCAGGGATGCTTCCTGCTGGGCAGGAGCAGCGGAGCCTCTCACACCATGACCTGGCACGTGATCCCAGGATGCAGATCCTGGAATTGGTTCAGGGCAGGACTGTTGACCCAACTGTCAGGTTCTAGAAAACAAATGGGAGCAGTGTGGCTGCAGCAGGAGCTTAAGGTTCCCAGGCATTGCAATTGCATGTGCTCTGCCCATCCTGATGCTTTCTCAGGTAGATATGCACCAAGCCTGTAGGTCAACTTGATACAACCAAATAACACTCCCATTTGTGGCAGTTTGGAGTAATTGGTGCTGCAAAAGACACCAATGCCTCTAGTCCAGGAGCAGCAAGACACAAAATAATCTGTCTTTTTACAGTCAGGAGGCATGAGTGTATGATCAGCTCATCTGTTCTACTGCATCTCTTAGCCTCACAGTGAAATCTTATGTCTGTTCAATGGGAAGGAAAATAATGACATTTCTGTAAGTGTTATGAAAACAAATTCCTAGGAACAGAAGTCCTTTATGGGGGGAGTTCTGCTTGAAATGCTTGAGTAGCCAGACTTCACAAACTGCTCTTGTTCTACCCTGTTTTTCACTGGGGACACTGACTTGGGCAGCTACTTAAGAGGGGATCAGCAGCTGAGACCTGTTGCCACCTGAAAGCTGAGATCTCCACTTGCACCAGATATAAGAACCAGCTCATAGGATAAGGCAGTGTAACTTGCCTCTAATCCCCTTTGCTGGCTGTGCTTTCATGAGAAGCTTCATCTGATCTCACTGCAAGCTGCTCCTGCAAGAAGTGGTCCTGCTCTCCCCTGTACCTAATGGCACATTCCCAGTAGTGCTGTGTAGTCAGGTGAGTTCTCTCATCTGCCTGAAAAGTCACATTAGAGGTCAAGTTGAGCTAGATCAGTGACTCCCCATGCACAGACAAGGAGGTAGAAGTGTGCTGCAGGGGAGGAAAAGACCACCCTCTGCAGCAACCCTCAGTGAGGTGGTACCAACTGCCCCGAGGCTGGGCCTGGGTCTGGACCTGCAGCATAGCTGACTTCTGGGCAGGTGTGAGGGAGGCACTAAGGGAATTAAATGTAAATGGAGTAACAGCCTGCCAGCATGTGAGCTACAGCCTCCCATGCCCTTGTACCCACTTCATGATGCTCATACCCTGCTTTCCAATGCTGAAAGAAAGCCTGAATAAGAGATTGTTTTCTCGCCTGACCCTTTGGAGCCACAGGCTGTGACTGAGATTCCTGCCCATCCTCCCCTTCCGGCATAGCCTGGGCTTGCAGCGATCATGGTGCGCATCCTCAGCCCTCTTGCAAGACAAACAGCTTTAGTGCCCACCCTGAGATAAGAACTGAGTGACTGAGTCCTGGCTGCTCCCTGGCCAAGTGCTGTGCAAATGACCCATGTTATTTCACCGCACTAGGCGAAGGGATGGGTTACAGAAAACAGCCGCAAAGGACAGCGATGCTTGGAGATGCTGCCTGTGAATATAGTAAAGCACCCCAGAGCTGGAGTGATTCAGGAGGCTGGCAGTAGCAACTATGGAGATGCTGGAGGGCTTCAGCAGTGATCTGACTCTGCAGCAATGCTGTAAGAAGCTGACTAAATTCAGCTGATAAGAAACTGGGTTTGTGCTTGACAGCTCCAGGGCAGATGCTGGTGCAGGATGAGTCTAAACTGCAGGAAGAAGAGCTGGACTTGAAAGTGAGCTGAGATCTCAAAAAGCTGTCTGGGAAAGGGGGGCGAGAGAGACTGTTATGCTTGCATCAGAGTCCTGGCTTGTTTAAGAAAGCTCTTAAACAGATGACTCGAGAATTGATGCCAAATACCTGGGAAGCCCCAGTTTGCTGCATGGCAGTGACTCAGCCCAGCCTGGCAGAGTCTGAAAACAGCCCTGGGCTTCCAACAGTGACAGAGGAAGAGAGCCTCAGCTGCTCACACATGTCTGATAGTCGAGTGTGTCCCCCAAAGACAATCACAGACATTAGGTACAAAGCAATACAAACACCTTCTCACCTTGAATCCCCTTTTAGCCATGTCCAGCGATAGCCATGGGGCCATGGCAAGACTGAACTGAAAATAACTGCCAGTAACCAGGGGCTACTGGTGCTGAGGAAGAGGCTAGTGAAGTGATCCCTGGTCATGCATGGCTGTGAGTCCTCTCTCCCCACCAGGCTGCAGGAGGGAGTGTGTCTGTCCTTGCACTTGAGAATTTGTCACCACTGACATCCAGCAAAGCAGTTCACTGGCTCCGGCTAGAATCTTGCCCAAACAGGTCACTGTGTAAACATACCTGCAGGGCTTGTATATCTCGGACATCTAGTAACATTTGTGCAGGGCTGGTAACAGGACTCCTAAAGGCTGTTTGCCTGCCTCTGGTGCTGGTTCTGGGCTTGCTCCTTATCTCACTTTGCTCCCAGCATTGTACTGGATGTGAACGCAGCTGGGGCTGTCGGGCAGCCACAGGAACAGAGTGTGCCAGAAAGCCTTTCAGAGGGGCAGCAGATGCCCTCTTCATGGGGTCTTGGTTTGGTATCTTGGCCCACCTAGAGCTGAGCTGTGGGATGGGGAGAGGAGAGGCTACAAGTGGCAGATCAGACAGGAGTTGTATTTCATGTAAGAGTTTTAGCCAGGCTTTAATCTCTTGGTACCTGACTGTACCAGGTATTGTACAGTACCACGTCCTAATAATTCAACAGTGGCACCAGAGGCCAGCAACAAGGGCTAAAAGGACAACTGCAACCTCTGTAGCATCCCAAGTGGCACAGCTGTCTAAAGGGGTCTTTTAGTATGATCCAACAAGATGCTGGTTCCATCAAGAGCAGGAAATTGTACTTCAAAAAGTTGGCCAACATCACTGACAGAAGCAAATGGAAAATGGGGATGGGATGAGAGGGAATGGGCTCTTCTCTCAGAAATCCCCCAAGGAAGCAATGGGGCTTGTCCAGGTGTCGTGGTTTAGCCCCAGCCAGCAACTAAGCACCATGCAGCCACTTGCTCACTCCCCCTACCCCGATGGGATGGGGGAGAGAATCGGAGGAGTAAGAGTGAGGAAAAACTGCTGGGCTGAGATAAGAACAGTTTAATAATTGAAATAAAGTAAAATAGTAATGATAATAATATACAAAGCAAGTGATGCACAATGCAATTGCTCACCACCTGCTGACCAATACCCAGACAGTTCCCGAGCAGCGATTGCTGCTCCCAGGCCAACTCCGCCCAGTGTCTATACTGAGCATGACATCACATGGTATGGAATAGCCCTTTGGTCCGTTTGGATCAACTGTTCCAGCTGTGCCCCCTCCCAGTTTCTTGTGCACCTGGCAAAGCATGGAAAGCTGAAAAGTCCTTGACTAGCATAAGCAGTACTTAACACACTGATGTTTTAGTTGTTGCTATCAACATTATTCTAATACTAAATCCAAAACACAGCTCTATGCCAGCTACTAGGAAGAAAATTAACTCTATCCCAGCCAAAACCAGGACACCAGGCCATCTGACACTGTACCTCCAGACTGACAAACCTTGCTTGTCAGATGTCACTGCCCAGTATGAAAACACTGAAGACTGGGCAGCCTGCTCTTCCCTGCTGCTAATTTTAAACTTAAAAGGAATCATGGAAGGAGGGAGAGTCCATTGCCAGTATGAACCTGAGTGCTGAGAGAAGTCAGACACTGTTATATTTCTCTCAATACCCTGCTTCAGAGCCTGTCCAGCCACTGCGTGTCCTAGAGGAAGAGTCACTTGCTGGAAGCATTTTTATCTAAAACCTGAGTTTGAGCCTCCTTAAACCTCAGATACTCAGTTGGCAGCTCACTGCCAGCAAGGCAGGAGGTGAGCTGGGAGGCAACACTCAGACGCTGTCAGTCTGATGGCTGTCAGAGGGCACTCACAAGCCCTGTAGCAAAACCAATGTTGTGTACATGCTTGTCTAATAAGATGAGAAGAAAGCCTGACTTGTGATGTGGTAGTGGCACTCCTGATGCTGTTGGGGTTGCAGGACATAGAGTTGGTTAGGAGGAGGCGAAGGGAGTTGGTGCCTTGCCTCACTGAAGGATGTGTTGCTCTCCTGCATGAAGTACTGCACTTTTAGATAGATCCCTCACAACTAGAGTATTTTTGTACCAGACTTTTTATTAAGAGTTTCTTGTTCTGGAACACCTCTCAAACCTGGACTCTATTTTTAGCTCAATGTTTGTTCCACTCTTGGGCAAAAATTTGCCCTTGTCCCCTGAAAGACGCCTGGAAACAAAGAATGACACCTTGAAGGCTTTTTAGCTCTACTCCAAGATAAATGCATGAGACAGAGGAAGCCTCGGTGTCTCTTAATAGCCCTGTAGCACACTGTAATTTTGCTTTAGTAGAACAGACCTTCTAATGATTACCTCCTTCCTGCAGTTTACTGAAGAAAAGTTGGGCCAGGCTGAGAAGACTGAACTAGATGCCCACTTTGAAAACCTCCTGGCCAGGGCAGACTGCACAAAGAACTGGACAGAGAAGATCTTGCGTCAGACTGAGGTTCTGCTACAGCCAAACCCTAGTAAGTCCAGCTTCTTCTAATGCTTGAAGGACAAATATCACTCACAGCTCAGTGTTAAAAGACATGCCTGCTGGCAGAGAGCCCTGTCCCACTGAGTTTGTGGGGGTTGGAAGAAATGTGTCTTTGCAGGGCCTGTCCTTCCTTCCCTATGTAGCCGAGATGACTGGGTGTGCTCCTGAGGACTGGGAGATGGTTGAAAGGGCAGGCACGCCTTCTCCCGGTGCTGCTGTTTGCTATCCAATGCGTGATTGAGGACTGTATGGGGTGGACCACCACGAATGCCAGTTCCAGGGGCCCCTCCTTCATCCTCCATCCTGTAACCGCTGGTGGCATCCTCATTCCAGGTGCCAGAGTAGAAGAATTCCTGTATGAGAAGCTTGACCGGAAGGTGCCTTCCCGGGTCACTAATGGGGAGCTGCTGGCACAGTACATGACAGAAGCAGCTAATGACTTTGGGCCAGGGACACCTTATGGTAAGTCAGTCTCACTAATTAGAAAGCCCTGGAAATCCATCCCTTGCTAAGAGAGTACCCCCACTGCTGTTTTGGGTTAAGACTTCTGCAGCATGCCTCTTGAAGGGGGCAGGGTGGCCTGCTCCCCCCATGGCAAGCTGTCTATTAGTGTGTCAAAGCTGATGCTGGAGAAGGGTCTTCTCTAGCGCAGAAAGGAAATAGCCCATTTGGAGTAGGAAGTCAAGTCTTACTCCACAGCAAAGCATGTTCCACACTGTGGGGGGAAAAGGGGCAGCGGTCTCCCCATTCCTAAAACAGTCCTCAAGTCTGGCAGAGCTAGAGAAGAAATAAAGACATGTGGATCCAGGGTAGCTAGTGGAACTGGTTACAGGACACAGAAACTATTCTGTGCTATTTCTGTGGTTTTCTAAACTAGTCTGAACAGGGAGTTGCAGTGAATGGCTTTAGCTTTGTCCAGATGGAGCATATTTTAAGTCTAAGGTGGTATCTAGTTGCACAGAGTTTCTCTAGACTCTGAACAGGAACCCATCCTTTAACTGTGTCCTGCAAATGGAGGGTGGAAATCTTTCTCCAGCAGAAAAAGAACAGGGAAACAGACTTAGGAAGGTTGGTGCTTGGCTACAAGCCTCAATAGGCCCCTTCTTGACCACACAGAGCATCTTTCTGCTCTTAAATCCTAAGAGTTGCCCCTTCCTGGGGGAATTTTGGACTGCTTTAAGCAGCAGACCTGTACAGAAGCACAGCCTTAACTTCCAGTTGTCCTTGCCTTCACCATGAGCTTTGTTACAGCTCTCCAAATCAATAGTTGTTCAATAGCCAGTCCTGTTACAGGCAGAATGGCTGTAACTGCATCTATAGCCAGCACTGCCTAATCAACTCATTTTTTTCTGCTCTGGTGCTTTTTAATTTGCTGTTCTGTTCCTGTGCCTGTTTTATGAAACAAAGAAAGATCATTTTGCGCAAGCGGGTGTAGCAGTAAAAGGACATTAGTGGAGTAAGTGCCTCAGCAGATAGATAAGATCAAAGCTGCACTGGGAGCAGCTGAGAAGAGGCCTCAAGCTAAAAACAGATTGTAGTTAGGACTGAAGCTGGTGTGGTACAGGCATGGTCACCTTGTCCAGGCAGGGTGCACTGTGCCTTTGTCCCCCAACACTGGAGCCTAGTAGCTCTGGGTGAGTTGGCTGAAGCCAACACAATGTTAATTGGTTTCTCCTTGAGTTGAAGGCTCCTGTTATTGCAGGGAAGACCTTGATAAAAGTTGGAGAGACTCAAAGGCGCTTAGGTGCAGCAGAACGGGACTTCATCCACTCTGCCTCCATCAACTTCCTGACCCCACTGCGCAACTTCCTGGAAGGCGATTGGCGAACCATATCTGTAAGTATGGTAGCAGGGAAGAGGAAGTCTGTCATGTCACCAGAGATGAGGAGGGTGGGGGGAGAGGGAGACAGTGCTGAAAGAACTCATTTTCCTTCCCTATGAGAAAGGAGCACTCCATACCTCTCCCCTCAAAGAACACAAAGATAGGGGGAATACCAATCCTAGATCTGCTCAGGGCTCGCTCTGCGTCAGGGAAGGATTGCCTGTTGATGTGCATGAGGAAGGTAACTCCTTGCCTGACTCCTGCAGCTTAGTGGGCACCACCCACCCATAGGCTGCCCTGCGTCCGGAAGGTTAGCCTGTATCCCTGGCAGCCAGGCCCAGAACTCTTGCTAACGAGATAAACATAGCAACTGTTTCTTTCTCTCTAGCATTTTTTGCTAAGGAAATAGATTTGATTCTTAGATGATACCCTGCCCCTTTCCTTCCCCAACAGCTCCTAAGCAGTCTGCTCCTACCCCATTTTCTGTCCCTTCCAGAAAGAGCGGAGGATCCTGCAGAACCGCCGCCTGGATCTGGATGCCTGCAAAGCCAGGTTGAAGAAAGCCAAAGCTGCCGAGGCAAAAGCAGCGGTAACTTTTTTCCCTCGTTCCCCTCTCTGTCCTTCTGGCCCCAGGGCTTGGCTCACATGCCACATGCTCTCTGGACGAAAATTAGGCTGCCCTACTGTGTCCTGGCTCTGACAGGCATGGGTGGGGGGCATTCCTCATCTGGTATGCAAGGGAACTGGGAGCAGAAGCCATGCACCTGTTCCTCAGATGCCCTCCCATGGGGGAGTTGTTGAAACAAATAATTCTGATCTTCCAGAGTCTGGAAACTTGACCCAGGCTCCTGTCTCCTGACTGCTAGAGGTTACTGGATGACTTGTGCTAGTAACTAAAAGGCTGCATCTTCTGAGGACTTGCTAAGTTTCCCTGGGGATCTCAAAGCAAGCTAAGAGAGAGCTGAGCTGGGAAGCGCACAAGGGGAGAGCATGCTGGGGCTCTGCAGCAGTCCCAGGCTTTCAGACTACTTAAGATTCTGCCAACTCGGTCTTGCCCAGGCAGGAGTGCCAGGGGAGCCTGTAAGGGCTGGCCAGCATCAGACTCTCTACCAAGAGGTCCTTCCTTCAGCCTCTCTATTCACTTAATTCATGATGCTGTCTAGTTACAGGCTAGTCTTGCCCTCTGGCTTTGGGGAATTCATGGCAAATAAACTAGCAGAGTTCCCAGGTCAGAGCAGTGCAGAAGGGACTGGTAAGTCAGCCAGTGTCACTGTCTGCAGGCCTGAGCAATGGGGACAAGTGCTTCAGAGTGCTTGTCTGAGGCTGACAAGACCTGTCAGCTCAGGGTGCTCCCTGGGCATCTCCTGGAGCTGGGCTGTCCCTGGGCAGAGGCAGTGTAGCAGGAGGCAGAGAGGATGTAGCTGAGCCCTAATGGGTTCCCTGGAGGGCCTTCTTGAAGCAGATTGCCATCCTGTAGCGCTCTGACTGTTGGCACAAGGACTTGCCAAGTTCTGCTTCTAGCCTGGGGCCAGGAGCTCAACTAGCAAACACCTGCAATCAGAATAGGCAGGAATCCTTTGTCAGTCAGTCTCTGGAATGCACTGGGATAGCAGCCTGGGAGCCCTGCTGTGAGCCCATTTTCTAACCATCTGCTCAGCTGGGCCTCTGGCCTTGCAGCTCCCTGGGTGGCCAGTTCCCAGGTGTTTTCCCTTTTCTCCAGCTCTAACTGCATACATGCTGTATGAGGAAGCTGTGCTAAGCTCAGCAGCCTCCATCAGCAGGTGTAAGAGAGTGCTCAGGACTATGTGGGAAAGCCCTGAAACAAAGCTTTGGGTGCACAAAAGTAATAGCTGACCTTTTTTTAAAAGCCTCCTCTCATCAGTCAGGTCACCTAGATCCACTGAAGGTAACTTCAGGCATCCCCGATTCCCCTTCTGAAGGGGCAGTGCCCCCAGTCTCAGTGGGAAGTGGTGGCCATTGCTTTATCTTAAGCTCAAATCAGAGCAGGAATTCAGATACCTCCTGTGCTTCCTCCCTTTCCACCCTCTTTACCTTGCTTCCTACATGAAGTGATCCCAAGGCTTCTCACCTGCACACAGACCCTTGGGTGAGGGACTTCCCTGTAGCTGGAAAAGAAAAACCTGGTTTCCCACTGGAACTGCAGGGCTGGGGTGCCCCAGGCAGGATGCAGAGCCAGTCCAGGCTTTCCAGGGTATTTGCCCCAAGCTACATTTCAGCCCCTCTGCTTCTTTGAGACAGAGATCACACAACAGAAGAACAACCTCAGCTGCTGTTGTGGGCACCCATCTCTTATCCAGCTTAGGTGGGTCCCTGGCCTCAGGGTGCCTCACTCTCTACTAGAGGACAAGGCACAGGTGGAAGCTCCCGGCATGAGGGGAAAGCTGCTGCCTCTGCTCTAGGCATGTTAACTCATCATTAGACCACCGCATTCCCTGTAACATGCCTGGAGTCCCGTGTCACGCCTCTCCATCCAAGCTGGCCTAAAGTATCGCACCTCTCTCAGCTCACCACTCTCTTGCTGCTCCTTCCCCTCTGTAGTGCAAACTTGTGTTCCCACAGCTTCCATCTTGTGACTGACCCTCCAAGTGTGCTGCTGCCCAGACCTGTGAGCTGCTGTTCGAGTGTCTGGGCTTGTGCATTTCCCTCGGACTTTGTGCTTTGTCCTTCTTGTTGATGCTGTTTTGTTTACTAACCTTTTTGTTTTGTTTCTTTGTAATTTGCTCAGTGTGAGGGAGATGTGAGTATTGACTGTGCTAACAGTGCTGTGATTTTTTTTCTTTAACACCTCTCATTGTCTCTTTCCCATTTTAAATGAAAATTCCCATCTCCCTTGTCCCACTGGGACTGGCCCTGGAGCATGTACTGAGCATGGTCAGGGCTGTGGCTGCCTGGGGAAGGTGCCCCAGAAAGATGGGAGTGTCTGTCGGCTGCCTGCAGCCCCTCTGGAGCATGCACTCAGTTCCATCAATGCTGCTTGCAAGCAGTGCTCAAGAGAGGCATGGCCTCCCATAAAGACCCACTCAGGCTCCTCCAGCTGCAGGTGGGAGGAGGTCAGGTTGGGTGGCAAGTCCCTCTCCTGGAAGGGAGGCAGCCCAGAGACAATGACAGGCAGGTTGATCTGGTTGTGGTGCTGTTCTGTCCTTCAGGCTCCAGGGCTCTGCCTGTTTTCCCCATTACAGGAGCGGAAGGGGGAGGGAGGTGGGTCCCTTTTGACCACTGCTTGCAAATACAACTTGCCCGTGTGTAGGAGTGCAAGAGCAGCTTGCCTCCTTCATCCCATGTGCTGTGACTAGTTTTGGGACTCTCTGGAGACCAGGGAATGGGAGGAGAGGTTTCTTGAGTTCCTCTTGAGCTTTAAAAAAAAAAAAAAAAAACCAACCAACCATAAGAAGCTATTCCTGTGAAACATCTCCTCTCCCCACAGGGAGGAGTCAAGCCTAGTTGCTGTGCTGGCTTCAAATGTCACTGGTGCATTTTTCTCCCTATGTTCAGGTTTGACTTGTAATAGGACTCACTCCTCCTTAGTCCTTCCTCCAGCCATCCCTAAAACTCCTAGATGGTTTAACAAAATCTCTTCTTGTTGAGACTGCCTGACTGCTCTTCCACACACTGGTCACTCATTCCAGCAGGCTGCTTGGGGCCCAGCAAATCGGGTCAGCGTGTATAAGTAGATCTGGGTGAGTTGCAAAGAGATTAACCTGGGAGAGGAAACATGGGGCCCGAGAGGATTAACAACCTAGCTGGGTTATAGCTGGATTGTGTGCCAGCCTTGCACACCAACCTGCTGCGCAGTATAGGCTGACCAGGAGGATACCCTGATCCATCACACCAGTGTGATGGTCCTGATGTAAGCTAGCTTGCTGGCTTATCTCTTTGGGTTATGCTACAGCCAAAGGCCATCCTAGGAGGAGGCCTAGTCTTAGCTCAGCTGAATAGAGCGACCATGTTATGTGATGGTTAGTGAGCCCACACCTGTGTGGGGGCGAACTGGATCCCTTGCATTCCCAGTGAGGAAAACCTGCAGAGTGCTTCAGTCTTCCTGCCTCAGGGCAGAGGTTTAGCTATGGAGAAGGTGGCTTGGAGGTTTTCTGACCTCTGGGATCATAGAAGCATTTAGGTTGGAAAAGACCTTTAAGATCGTCAAGTCCAACTGTTAACCTAACACTACTAAGTCCACCACTAAACCATATCTCCGAGTGCCACATTTACACATCTTTTAAATACCTCCAGGGATGGTGACTCAACCACTTCCGTGGGAAGCCTGTTCCAGTGCTTGACAACCCTTTCCGTGAAGAAATTTCTCCTAATAGCCCATCTAAACCTCCTCTGGCACAACTTGAGGCCATTTAATCTCAAAGAATCATAGAATCGTTTAGGTTGGAAAAGACCTTTAAGATCATCAACCATCAGATGATGAAAACTCATACACTACCTTTGGCAACAGCAAGGCTTTGGACTAGATCTGCTTCGGCTAAGCCGTGCACCTTACCGAAAATAGCAGATCTGAGTCTGTTAGGAGGAAACGTGCCCAGAGGCTTGGTGAGAGTAAGAACAAGTAGATGTGTTTCTTTAAAAGGCACTGCAGAAAGGATGCTCTGATGCTAGTAAACATGCCCACTTTAAGGACAAGGCCCTGTACAGGGACACTTCTAGGACTGTAGGCAGGAAGCAAGGGGAAAGAAGGTCCTGCCCGCTGGACTGAGCCAACATGACATGAGCAACCTGCTGGCTGCAAGGGAATAGGAAATGCCTTTGAGATTGTGCCATCTCATCTCCAACTGGCCGCTGTATGAGCGCATACCTGTAAGTACAGGCAGAATTTCTAACAGTAGAAGTATCTGCTGTTCAAGCACCGGGTGTGACTGCATGAGCCAGTCCACCTCCTCTTGCACGAGCCTGGCTTCCACCTGGGGAGAGCTTCCACGCACCACTACCAAGACTGTTGGGAGACCTCCCTCCTGCCATCCCATAAGATTTTGAATTAGACTTCCAGCACAGACAGGAAAAAACCACTAGTCCCTTCTTCCATCCATTGCCTGACTGACTGCTATGGACTCTTCTGCGTGACTTGTACATGAAACTCTATTCCCCCCACTAGGCTGTGCCTGACTTTCAGGAGACTAGACCTCGTAATTACGTTCTCTCCGCCAGCGCATCAGCGGTAAGATTGCCTCCTCCTAGATGTTGCCTCTCCAACCTCTTCCTGCCCCTCTCTTCACCTGACTTAAACTCAGGCCTAGTGTTCTGCCGTTTTCAACATTTTAATGTGACATGGGCTGCCCAGGGTTCCTCTGACTCAACCTTAAGGATGCAGATCACCCCTGTGGGGGTGCGTGGTCAGGGTCTGGCGCTTTTGCTGCTTGGTTTGCTTTCCAGTTTCTCTGACAATCCTCTTCCACACTTCTAGTGGGAATCTTCTGACTGTTCTGGGGTTTTTTTTATTGCTAGTGGAGCAATTGAAAGGAAAAAAAAACCTCAAAGGTTAGCCTTTCTGGATGGTTCCAGCTGTACACTGGCAATGTCACATGCGTGACTGCCTGATCAGTACTGTGGTGTCAGTGCTCAGAG